TAAAATTATATCCAAGCAAGAAGACCAAGAATAAATTAACTCATTTGTTTATAAAAGTACTTATTTTCAAGTAATGTTTTATTATAGAGCTGCCAAAACAAATTGCCTCACACTTGATCTTAACTGTGTAGCTAATTTAATTATCACTTGGGATAAAAACTATTTGTATGTGCCATTAAGTCAAGGGATATTTTCCTAAAACCAAATAAAGTTAAAAATAAAAAAAAATCCCATTAATTTATAAAACATTAAGGCCTCTGAATGAGAAATCTATTTAATGTTTGGGCCATTAGTCCTTTTCTAGTCAGTCTCTCCTCTATCCTTCTCCTCCCAAACTTTTATTTAACAAACTACATATTCAAAAGAATTTTCTATGTGCTAATTTAAATATGTAATTAATATAAATGAGTATATTTGATACTCATTCTTTAATTCTAATCATTAAAAATAAAAAGCAAACATGTTTTAATTGGTGTTAAAGCACACACATTTCTGATCTGGTGGCTTTTAAACTATTTACTGTATATATATATTTAAAAACAAATACTTGTAAATCCACAGATTGCTATCCCTCCTTTCCAAATGAAAAAGTCTTAGTTTTGATGAGCAGATGCAGTTTAAAAATCTAGAAATTGACTTTTTGAAACCTGAATCTACTTTTTCTGTATCTGAAGAGTAATTACTTTAAAAAAAAAAAAAGGGTCCCATAAGCCAGAGTAGTTCTGGATTTTCTTTGAACTGACCATACCTATTTTGCTATATCAAATGTTTCAACTCTGCTGACTAAATGAACTATATAACTTGCTTCAATATCAACCAGAGAAGAGAACAATGTTTAACAGAGAAGCAAAACTTATTCTTTCAAAGAAGTAATTTAACCTACTAAATATGTTTATTATATGATCTTTCTTAGAAAGTAATATTCCTTCTTTCATTACTGAAGTGATATTTCATACACTTAAGCAAGTTATAGATGTTAGCTAAATATCAATTATGGCAAGTTAACTATAATTAAATGATCACTTTTGTTTGTGGTACACATAAAACATTTGTACACTCTTTACACATGAGTTTTCTTTGACAAAGAATTTAATGGGAAAACAGGCAATTACTAAAGCTAAAGTCTCATGGTACATTAAGCTATTTGTTAATTATGACACCAAACTAGGATAAAATTTAGTATAAAGATCTTCCATTCACAAAACCATATTCTGATACTTTTAAATTGGGATAATTCTATGAATTCCCATATATTTACTGAGAATATTTAAGTTTATCTACATAGTATCCAGAAAGCCAATAGCACTGCTGACAGGTTTTGCTATGTTCAGGAGTCACTATGAAAACCTTTCATTTGTTCACCAATTAAACAGGTTCAGTTTCTACTTTTCAGTTATGTTTTGGAATAAAGTTTATGATCATAAACTATACATTTTTTTGGTTGATATTTCTTAGCCAGTTGTTGTATATACTAATGAGGAAATAGAAAGGATTGATTGAAATTAAGTTTTCTGTTCATTCATTCACTTATAGGCCAGTCCTAGTGAGTATGTGGGGCCCTGTAAGAAGCTCCAGGCTTCAGTCCTTCAGCTCTTCCTCAGACTCAGATCACTACTAGTCACTAGTGCTGACAAAGATGTACTTTCTGATGCATCATCCTTCTTAAGGTTCAAAAATGATTCTCGAGTTATTTGAAGAATCTCTCTCAAGTCTTTGGTCTCTTGTTCAAGTTGAAATATTCGTTCCTGTTCCTTGCAACCTTGCTGCTCATCAATTTCAATAGCTCTCCTCATTACTGCTACATTTCAGTTATCTGGTCAACATGTGCTTGTAACTCCTTGGAGTGCTGTTCTTTTAACTTCATTATTGTACCTGGGTCATCTTTTTTGTTAGCCATTAGCAATCTGAACATCTGTTCTCGATACTTGCTCATTATAAGTTCCAGGGCAGACTGATGTTCTTCTAGGGATGTATGCAATTCTTTGTTCTCTTGCTGCAATTCTCTGATTTGTCTGTTTTCTTGCTGGATTCCCATAACTAAAGTGGATCGTGGTCGATGAATTGCAATTTCATTGAGTTCTTGAATTTCTTCCTGATACTGCTTCATTGCTTCTACTCGCTTATTGAGAGCTGTAGTCTGCTCAATCAGAGATTCTGCTGCATCATCATGATCTCTTAATCTTTCAACAAGAGCTTTAGCATCAGCAAATGCCTTCTCAATTGTGCAACTCATTTTCTAAAGAAGTACTCCGTTCTCAATCCCTTGCAGCTATCGGATGTGGCGATTAGGACAGGTGCTTCTGCGAACCAGAACCTATCGCCGAAGGCACGGGACCTGGCGTCCTTGTTCGTGTCTTCAGTGAATAGACGTAAAAGCCAGGAGAGACAGCGGTAAGGGCGCTGGAGAGACAGCGGTAAGGGCGCTGGAGAGACAGCTGGGGTCAAGCCCATCACTGGCGTCGCGGAAACCTTCGCTGGCCGTCTCAAACTACCGCTATTGGAGCACTCTTTTTCCTTCTTTATATTGACATTTTCACTCTATATATTTTTCATTTGTATTTCCATTTTTGTCACTTAAAATGTTTTGACTTTTCCTTGTACATATTAATGTATGCTAATAAAAATAGTAAAAAAAATAGAAAAAGGTTTTGACTTTTTGGTACCTCTTTTGTATCTGTTTTTAATAAACAGCAGATAGTTGGCATTGATCTTATGAAACAATTTGATATATTTTGCCATTTGGTAGGAGAAAGTTTACCTATTTACATATGCTTGGGCTTAAAAATTCCATCAAATAAACTTAAAACACGTTACTCTTTCTAATATTAATGCTTTGTGGTTTTAATCTTTCTCTGACTTTTTTCTATATGAATTTGAATTATTTTTATCTTTTATTTGTTCTTCAATGATTTGGAAACTATAATGTAATACTTAATTCTAGTATTGGTTACCTTAAGGTTTTCTTTGGGGGGAGGGGTGATATTGGGGTTTGAATTTAGGGTCTTGTGCTTGCTAGGCAGGCACCCTACTACTTGAGTCACACCCAACCTGTAAGGTTTTTTTTAATAAATCATATTAGAATCTATTTTCCTAAACTCAGAAGAAACATGAAACAGTATTAATTGTTATTGATGCTTAGCCATGTGATAAGATGTTTCCATTTTTTTAATTTTTGGCAGTGCTGCCTCTGTTATTCCCCATTCTAAATTCTCAAATATTATCTATGGGGTATGGAAATTTTAGGCCTATCTGATTACCTTTTCATTATAAATCATCTCCTTAACATATTTTAATATTTGCACTGGTTTGTATGATTGAGCTCAGTCTGTATATGGTAAGGTTTCAAGCCTTACTGTATTCTGAATTTAATGTAATCCAGTTTCTGCAGCAAAATTCTGTGTAACTGTTTCTATTTTTTTATAAAAAAGTATCAAATTTATTTTAGTATCTAGTTTCATTTTTAAATTAGAGCTCCTATACAATTACTGTAACTTAGAATTCATTGTCTGAAGTGCAGAAAACATTAATAAGCTATTAAAATACTGCAATGAATAAAATTACTGGACCATGCATTAAGAAAAGTCATGTTTAATAGTCAAAAGTTCCAGTTTTACTACTTAACTGATTCTTTAGCTCTGTATTTCTAATTATAGCACACTGTCATTTCATCTAGTTTGTGCAATCACTACTATACTCATCATTTTTCTTTTCAAAATTTAAGACTTTCTTTACCACTTAAGAAGTATGACTTAACTCCTTAGGAATTCTTCAAAAGAAATCTGAATTTTTAATTTTCACCTGAAACCTGTTTCATCAAAAATATGGTATCACTACCACAAGATAAAAACAAAGAACAGAATTAAAATAAAAGTATTATCTATATAAACAACAAAGTTTTTGATGACTATTTCAGAGTTCTAGTTAGCTCAAGAAAAAAATTGATTCCAGGGTGTTATAGCATTTGGCATTTTTACTGCAAGCTTTAAATCATACTATTACTCTTCTCAACAACCCATCTAAGAAAATGGCAGTGTTCAGAAGTACAAAAATTGTTATATCCAGTAGGTGGTATTTTACATATTCAAGATATTCAAGAGAAATCTTTATAAAAATTAAGTTAGAAAATGCAGAGTGTCTTCATAATTACCAGTTGACTCAAAGGCTAATGTCAGAAAAATGCAGAAAACAGATGTACTCATTGATTAGTATCATTTTGCTTGGAGAAAAACAGAAATTATTCCATTCCAATAAGCAGTAATGATAAAAGATGTGACTAATATACTGTATCTCTTAAGCAAAAGCAAAGTTTTCACCTCAGAGAGAGCAATTCTGACTTATACATTCTTAATATCCTTTGTCCGGAAGAGGACAAAAGATTCTGTTCCATTTTAAATCACTATTTGAGTAGAGTTTATAATCAGAAGTACTTTTTCTCCACAGGATGTTTTCATTTCAATATATAAGATGCAGCTATAAAGAATATGTACTACAGGCTGAGTATCCCTTATCTGAAATGTTTGGGAAGAATTATCAAAAGCATTTCAGATGTTTTTCAGATTTTGGAAAGTTTGCATATACATAATGATACAGCTTGAGAATGGCAACCAAGTCCAAACACAAAATTCATACAGTATTATCAGTGCACCTTGTGTTTCGACTGCAACTCATGATGAGGTCATGTGTGGAATTTTCCACTTGTGACATCATGTTTGTACACAAAAATTTCTGATTATGGGACATTTTGGGTTTTGAATTTTCAAATTGGGGATGTTTCACCTATATGATAATTTAAAATAACTGCCAACAGATACCAACAAACTTTTATACTCAAGCCTAAAGGTTACAGTATTGAGGTCAGAACTGAAATGATTCTTCCGTATTGTCAGATTTAATTTACTAAGTAAAATCCTATTGTGAAATCCAAAGATCTTAGTGAGTCCTTCCAAAGCTGTTTGATTTTCCAAATGATTCTTCTCTGGTTGCAGATCCTGTTCATTCTTTCAATCCTTTTTAAGTCGTTTAGCTTTTGCAATATTTTCTTGACGTTTTTGTTTCTTCTTTTGTTCCTTCTCCCTGGCTTCAATCGTCTTGGTCAATTTCCAGGACAGTACAGCACTTGCTAGGAACAGTGGAGTGAGGGCCAAAATAACTGTTGTAAGGAAGCCATACGGGTCCTTTGCAACCCATTCCACAGCACACTCAGCCCAAGCCTTTATGTCAAACATCTTTGTAGCAGCCTTAGGAAATTTCAGGAAGAGATAGGCTCTTTTCCGCCAAAAACGCCAGCGGGGCTCCTTGGGCTGGACAGAGAGCCAGGCCACCAGGCTCACCCCGGTTTCCCCATTTGCTCAGGGCCAACTCCTCCGGCTCCCTCTTCCTGCCCTCCCGCCCGGGGCAGCCGTGCTCGCTCCCGCCTGGCCTTGGCGAGCGCAGACCGGCAGGGCTCGCAGAGCCGAGGCCCGGAAGCAGGGCGCCACCCGCCACACCCGTCCGCCTGCTCGCTCTGTGTAACTGTTTCTAGAGTAGCTTGTGAATGACAGAATTTCCAATCCGATGTAGGTCTAAAAATGTTTTCCTGTTGTGCTTATGAATATATTTTAATGGGGTGCAGATTTTTGGGTTCACAATACCTCCCCTTCATGCTCTGCAGATGTGGTTTCATTCTCTCCCACAGTGCTGAATGCACAAAGAAACTTGCAGTCACCCTGATCTTCATTCCTTGCAAAGTGATTTGGTTTTTTTCCCACCTGGATGTCTTTTGGACACTTGATTTGTTCTTAAGTTTTTAAAAACTTTGCTATGCTATCTTTGACCTTAACTTTCTGCAGACTTTAGCAGTCTTTCTTTGGTTTAGAAAAATTTTCTGCTGAAGTTTTAAAAACATACGTTATTGTGGTGTGCTGTTCTTCACTTCTGGGACTACTATTAGATGTATTTTGTCTGTCCTTGCTTTTTACCTGTCTGACCTCATTTCTGCTTTTCTCATTTCTTCATGTTCTCAGAGACTCTCAGAGTTCATCCTCTACTTTGTTGATGAGATCTTCTGTGGTGTTTACACAATATCAATATTTCATGAAATTGAAATTCCAGAAATTGAAGTTTTCATCAGCATTTTCCTTCTTGGTCTCAAAAAATCTACTTTTTATGAATACTGGCTCTAATCTCATACCTGCAGTGTCTCTTTGAAACTGGGAATAATGATAACACAGTTTCTTTAAAATGTCCTTGTTTCTGGTAACTGTGGATTTCAGAAGATGACATTTGACCAGGCATGGTGGTACATGCCAGTAATCCCAGCACTGAAGAACCTGAGGATCACAAGTTCAAGACTAGTCTGAGCTACCTAGTGAGTCACTGTTCCAAAAAAAATCCCAAAACAAAAAAGAAAGAAAAAGTGACATTCATTCCTCAATATGAAATATGGCAGATTCAAATAGCTTTCTGTTTGTTTTCCTTGAAGAAAAGATCCAGGTTTGCCCAGGAATGGCTTATAAAGTTAGGATTTGAGGGAGTTTATGTGAGTCGTTCGTTTAAGAATGGATGGCTGTTGAATAATAGGGGAGTAGGGCAACAGAAAAAGAGTGAATAATACAGATGGTTAATCTGATTAAAGTGCAATAAATACCATGGCAACCCCTCCTTGAACAATCAATATACACTTACAAAAATGAAGGGCAGGAAGTAAAACAGGTCCTGTCCAGGGGCAGGTACCAGAGGAAGAGGGAGCATAAATGGAGAAGGTGAAAGAGGGTGAATTTGGTCAAAATACTTTGTATACATATTTGAAAACAGAACAAAGAAATCTGTTGAAAATATTCTAAGAGGTAGGGAAGAAGAGATGAGGAAGAAGGTGATGGAGGATATGACTCTAATTAAGACACAATGTAAGCACATATGTTGTCACCATGAACATACGGTTAATAAAATGTCTTTTCAAAAATGAATAGAACAAAAAAGATGGTAGATTTAAAAAATCATTCTCTTTCTGAATTTTTCAGTGTACTTGGAAGGAGACAGGACAGCTCAGTTTACTTCCAGGCAGAGCCCTGGTGTCCAACCTCTAGCCCCATTTCAAGGTGAGAGTAGGTCACTGGCACCTGGAAGCCTGAGCTGTGGCTGCTGGTGGTCTCATCAGATGGACGGTTCCCATGAGGAATTCCCCTAAGGCTGTTCCTGATGGGTCCTAGCTGTGTGGCTGCAGTTTGGATGAACCTTCCGCAGGTGCCAATAGCTCAGCAATATGGCAGTGCCCATGACCAGCTCCCTGAACATTTCCTCAGGACCCACAGTGTCCCCATGTTGGAGTGCCTTCCACTTCCATTCTGTGCATGGTATTAGATTTTTCTCTGCTTCCATCCAATCCTGTCATATGTCACTTTTTCTGAATGATATCATCAATGTTTCAGTGGTTCTAGAATCATACAGATGGTTCCAGGCTTATGATGTTTCAACTTAGGATTTTTCTACTTTATGATGGTGTAAAAGGGTGCCCACACAGTCGTTCTGTTTTTCACTCTCATTACAGTATTCAGTATATGACACAAATTATTCAATACTTTATTACAAAAGAGCCTTTGGGTGAGATGATTTTGCCCAACTGTAGGCTAGTGTTCTGAGCATGTTCAAGGCGGGTGAGATTCAGCTATGTTGGTGATGGGTAGGTTAGGTGTATTGAATACATATTTCAATTTAAAATATGTCTATTGGGTTGTAATCCCTCCATGAGTCAAGGAGCATCTCCATATGCAGCTGTATGTATATATGTACATGAATAATACATTACTTGATATTAATTTTCCTTTTCATAATCTACATTTAGCAGAAATCAGGGAGAAGCAATTCAATGTTTGCACATATCTCTTGGCTTCATATTGCTTCTGAATGTTTTCTGTGAGCCTCACAGAGCTCTCTTAGTACAGAGCTTGCTGTAGATTCTTGTATCTTCCAAAACCTAACCAGTGTGTACCACACCATTTACATTTGCCAGATCCTGGATCAGTATAATTCTAACACAGTCTCCCTATTTTCCTACCCCCAACTCCAGGCTTTAAATATCAGTATTTTTGTTGGCAGGGATTCTTACAAGAATAAAAAATTGAGTCTCCAATTTTCAGGAATAAAAAGGTAATATTAGAGTACCCAATACAATGAATTTTCTGTAATAAAATAATGAGGATAATATTCCTGAGTCTGCAGTATTGCAAGTGAAATCCATGGTCGGTTGCCTTCCCACTGGGTGACTGTGCAGGGAAGCAGATAGATGGAGAGTGAGAATAACAGCTTGTGGGTCCCCAGCTGTCCCCACCCCCACCTTCACATTCAGCTTGTGCCCAAGGAACAAGACAGCAAGGCAGCACTGTTTAAATCTCTCCTGAAATGTTAGCAAAGACATGGCCCTGATAGCTGTTGTAAAAGTCAAGATTGTGCCATGGAATTAGTGGAACAAGTCATCTGTGAAGGCTGTGTCTGAGGAGGTTAGCTCACTACAGTCAGCCAGCTGCAGGAAAGACATCATTTATAGCTTGTTTTCCAGTTTCACTTCTATCTCTGACTCTCTTCTTGGACTGTAGATACTGATTTCTTCCTGTATTCTCATGTGGTGGTAGTGGTAAGGAGAACTGGGAACTGGGGGTGGGTGGGTAGGGGAGGGTGAGAGAGAAAGAGAGAGAGAGAGTTCAGGAGTTTCTTCTTATAAAGACATGAATCCTGTCATAACATCACATGTAAATGCAGCCACATTAGGGGTAAGGGCTCCAATGCTTGCTTTTTAGGCGGGGGCATTATTTAGTCCACAGCAGGTAAAACAGAGGATGAGGGTGTATGTGGAAAGATTGGGACCAGGAGTCACAAAACTTGTTTCCTAGCTGCTGTGTGAGTGCCATAGGTCATTATGAGTCTTAGCAATGTCATCTGAGGGACATACACCTTACACACACACACACACACACACGCAGCCCAGGATGTTCTACTTTCTTGCCTACTTTATTTTCCTTCATAGCACCTGTCACTAGCCAACATAGTATACTTTTTTTTGCTCTGTTTAATGTCCTACTATTCACGCACTAGAAAATAAGCTTCCTCGGAGCATCTCCACAAACCTAGATCAGCATCTGGAAGAAAGCAATCGAACAATTGTAGAGTGAGTGAATGGATGAGCAGATGCAGGTGATCTAACGAGGGGGGGAACCTCATCCAATTGTCTGCTAAGTGAAGGGGCCTTGCAGACCTAGCAAAGTCCACAGACAGGGGAAGAACGGCTGGCGAAGGGCAGCATGCTTATGGGATGACAGGCTGCTGCCCTGACTGACAGGCTGGTGTGTGTGTGTGTGAGGGTGTGTCAACCATAGACTCCTGGAAGGCCCAGCTAGCAGCAGCCCCTGTACTCTGCCACCTAAGCCATGCCTCCAGCCCTTTCTACTCTGGTTATTTTTGGGAGTTTCTCTTTATGCCAAAGTTGACCTGGACCACAATCCTATTTTGTGCATCCTGCTGTAGCTGCAATGGTAGGTATGTATTACCATGTCCAGCTATTTGTTGAGATGGGGGTCTTGTGAACTATTGGCCAGGGCTGGCCTTGAACAGCAACCCTTCAGCTCTCAGCCTCCCGGGTAGCTAAGATTTCAGGAGTGAGCCATGAGTGCCTGCCTTGAATTAAAAATTTTAAAACGATAAATTAATTGGCCAGATCTAGTGGAACACATCTGTAATCTCAGCACTTAGGAGGTTGAGACTAGAAATTTGAGGCTAGCCTGGCCCCATAGCAAGGCACTGTCAAGAGACAGAGAGAGAGAGAGAGAGAGAGAGAGAGAGAGAGAGAGAGAGAGAGAATTAAAATATGGGATATTATCGGAATATTCCAAAAAAGCAAATAGCTAGCAAACACAGGTGCTCACCACCATTATCTATTGGAAAAATGCAAATCAAAACCAGAATGAGAAACTTTACACCCACTAGGACAGCTAGAATGGAAAAGTCAGATAATAATAAGTTTTGGTGAGGATGTAGAAAAATCAGATGATAGGGATGTAAAATTGTGCAGCCACTTAGCAAAACCAATCTGATAGCTTCTTAAAGAATTAAGCAGAATGATCAACTGACCCACCAACAACCCTCCTAAGTATAAACCAAGAGAAATAAAAGTGTGTGCCTATACAAAAACTTTTACAAGGTTGTTAATCAAAGCATTGTTTATAATGACCAAAAAGATATAAACAACTCAAATGTC